ATATTATTATAGATATACTTGGTTTTAACTATTTTTGAAATTTAAAATTTTATAATTAGATATAAAAATAGATTTTGGGATAATCCTAAGAACATTTTACAACAAAATTATATACCATGATAAATTTTGAAGGTTCACCTTTCCTTTACGCCCGTATGCCAACTGCACCTTTTCGAAAAATCATAAAAGAAATGTGAGCCATTTATAATATGGGTGTGGTTTATATGGAAAAAGTTTATATAGAGCCAAGGCTCTAAACAATCAAATTAGAACCCACCTCAAAAATTTCACTAGAAAAGGTTGTTTTGATGCCCAACTATACTCAATTGATTATCTCGATATCAAGATGCATAGAAATCAGAAAAAAAATGGATTTCAAGCTTTGGAAATAGTACATCTTGTAACGTTTTTTTGGACCATCAATTTTCAAGATTTTCATGTTTTCATAGATCTGCTCGATCTACACTATTTTTGAAGCTTCAAATTTAATAATTAAATATCAAAATATATTTTATGGCTATCACATATATTCCAAGTATTGAAACCACATTTCTCAACACTATTTGAAGGTGCGCTTTACTTTGATTGTTCAGAGCATCGACTCTATACAAACCGCACCCGGTTTATATATGATGGCAACCTTGTAGAAATCAACTTGTAATGTTCTACACAGTTTATTTTGGTTGAACGGTGTAATTTGATATGTCTTTTTTAAATAATACTAGAAAGTGATACGTCTTCTAAGATAATATCAAATCTACACCATTCAAATAAAATGAACGATATAGATTACTACAATTTTACTTCTACGAATAAGATTGCAACCTCATATAATTTTTTTCCTTTATAATAATATATTTATACAAGGGTCCGTAGATAATGTCAATGAATTTGTTCAAATTTTTTAACGGATTTTGAGCCAAAGAATAACTCATCCACCTATGTTCCTTTTTTTTTATTTTGCAAAGTACCCTTCATTTAAATTTTTTGATAGGAGTTTCTCAATAAGGATAGAATTTTAAAGGGAGATCTAATACAAGAGCATAACATTGTTTTTGGCTTTTTATATATAAAGTGTATGGATCTAAACCATATTAAATGCATTAAGCGTGAAGATCAACGGGCATTGGTGAAGGATAAAGAGGTCAACGAAAAGTGAAGTGTCTATTTTAAAAAATTATTAAATGACGAACAAAATGGGAGCATAGTGGTAGAAGGGACTGTTGGTACAAGTGACAATGGTGGTCATAGATATATTCATAGGATTAGAATGTTGGTAGTGAAAGAAGCTTTGAAAATGATGAAGATAGGAAAAGCTTTAGGACCAGATGGTATCTTGATAGGTTTGGAAATACATGAGGGAAATTGGCATTGACTAGCTGACAAAGTTGTTCAACAAAGTGTTGAGAACAACGAAAATGTCAGACAAATTGAGAAAGAGTATTGTGGTACTTATTTACAAAAACAAATGAGACATATATAATTGTGCAAACTATCGAGGGATCAAGCTTATGAGTCATACTATGAAGCTCTGGGAGAGAGTCATTAAGCAATGACTAAAGTATGACACAAGTGTATCAGAAAACCAATTTGGTTTTATGCTAGGAAGGTCAATAATTGAACCTATTTTCCTACTTAATCGAGAAGTTTTGGGCGAAAGAAAAAGACCTCCGCATGGTCTTTATTGATATAGAGAAAGCTTATGATAGTGTACCTCGATATTTGATTTGGCAAGTGTTGGAAAATAATGATGTCTCTAGACACTACATCGACTTGGTGAGAGATATGTATGATGGAGCTATAATTAGTATACGAACAATTAGTGGAGAGCCGGATGAGGCTTTAGTGACAATAGGTCTACATCAAGGGCCAGCATTGAGCATGTACCTCTTTGTCTTAGTTATGGATGACTTAAATAGGCACCTACAATATCAGCTGCCGTAGTGCATGTTATTTGCAAATGACATAGTTTTGATTGATGAGACCTGAAACGATGTCAACACAAAGTTAGAATTTTGGAGGGATGCTCTAAAATTCAAAGGTTTTAAAATTAATTAAACTATAACAAAATCTATAGAATTCAAATTTAAAAATAATAGGAGTAGAGACGATGAATTAGTTAAAATTGACAGCCATGAAGTACAAAAAAGACCGCACTTTCGATATCTTAAGTTGATAATCCAGAAAAATGGAGAAAATGAGAAAAATATCGCACACAGAATTAAAGCTAGGTGGGCAAATTGAAAATGTGCAACTGAAATTTTTTATGATCGCCGCATACTGATGAAGCTGAAGGGCAAGTTCTATAAGACATCGATGAGACCAGCTTTGCTCTATGGAGTGAAATGTTGGGCAGACAAAAAACAATATACACATAGGATGAGTGTTGCGGAAATGAGAATGTTGAGATGGATAAGTGGCAATACAAGAATGGATAAAATTCACAATGAATCTATTGGAGAGAATTTAGGTGTGACACTAATAGACGATAAAATGAGAGAGGGTAGACTTAGGTGGGATTGCCATTTATGGTACCGATCAAGTACAACACCTGTTAAGATGTATGAATTAGTTCAAGTGGAAAGACTGAAAAGGGCAAGGGGTATAGGCCGAAGATGATGTGGTTGGAAGTAGTCCGAAAAGATAGGGGGACTTATGGCTTCACTCAGGATATTGTCATTTATAGAGCAGAATGGAGAACTAGGATTCATGTAGCCGGCCCCAATTAATTAGAAAAAAGTTAAAATATGATGATGATAATAATGATTATATTACACAGAGGATCCAAATTTTGGTTGTTCTTGTATCCACAGGAAAATAGAATTGGCCACCATGTTCAAACCCATATCCTACTTCAAGAAAAAATCGCAAGGGTAAAAGTTCAGATATGGGTTGTTTAAAGTCCTCACTTTACCTATCTCGAGCGAGTTTGAACATTAGGTATTTGAACCATTCAATTGTGAGTTTTCGAATGGACTTGTTCAGACTTCCAAAGCCCAAGCATCCAACCAGTAAACAATGACTGCCAGTTTGGACATAGATGTAAGTAGTGAGAGACTAGAAAAAAAAAAAGACAAAAAATTAGAAACTATACATAATATGCAACACGTGCTATTGTTTTTAAACACGTCTTATAAAGAGATCGCTATATGTAAATTTTCAAATTTTACAAAATAAAATTTTTATGGATGCTTTTGGCATGTGGAATATGGCAACTATACTAAAAAATTACTCAGTAAATAAAAAAAATCAAACAAAAAGGAAAAAAAAAAAACTAAAAGTCATTGTCATATTTATAGTGGGCATGTCAGATTCCTTGACCATTTCCATAACTAACTACCTTACCTGCCTTCAACTCTTTTCCAGTGAAAATTAGGGCTTCAAAATTGAACCCTATCCTCACTCTTTCAGTGAAAAATAGGGCACAAACTTGAATCCAATTCTGTCTGCAATTGTTCATGGTTTTTTCAGTGGAAATCAAGGCACAAGAGTGTGGACCATCCTGTATCTTTTTCAGGGAAATCAGGGAATGTAAATAAGGTCCATATTGCATTCACTCATGGTATTTTCAGCCTAAATTTTGGGCAGCAATTTTTCATTTTTTTTAAGCAGAAATTAGGGCATACAACAGAACTCTTAAAACCCAGATACTCAATTTCTCTTTCATGGTATTTATCAGTAGAAATTAGGGCAGAAAATGTGCTCGATTCTTCATTCCCTCGTGGCTTGCTGTAGTGCCAGTCTTCCAATTGCTTTTAGGGCATCAAGGTTAAGCCAGAGAGCTGCTTATTCGACTTCTTCTCAGTTCAATGGTGGGATTTCTATGGTTCAAGGAGCATCAAGAGGAATCGGGCTTGAATTTGTAAGTTTTAATCTGCAGATTCTTATGTTATTTATATTTGATATTACATTTTGTTTTTTCTTATTGAATGTTACTTGTGCAATTCAAAACTGCAACCAAGCTTCATGAATACGATTTTGAAACCATTGGAGTTTCCAGGTTCACCCATTCTTTTGTTCTAACTTTATTCATTCATTTATTCAATTAGGTATGCATTGTTAGTGATGAGATCATTCCCGATCTCTGTTATATCACCAGAGGGACCGGGGCACTGTACCCATTTATTTTTGGTCGACAGAAGTCACAATCACCCGTGTTGTGATATGTAAAATTTAGTAGCTTAGAGAGTTACAAAACTTGAAAACTTTTCTTTGGGACTTTGAACCCAGTCAATGGCTTACCTTTAACCACCTAATTTCACATCCAATTACTGAAGGTTATTGTCACCTCCTTATATGTGTGTTATTGTATACTTTTCCTAGTTTTATTAGTTCTATGTAGTGCTTCGAGACTTGGCCGAGTCCAAGTCACTCGGAGGCAAGTTTTGGCCGAGCACATTGTTCACCATGTTTATATGTTATGTATATTATTTCATCCATTTTAAGTCAGAAATGAGTAAGTGGTACCTTGGCTAGAGTATACGTGCATCCCCCATCACTTCTGGGGTTGGATTCCTTTGAGGGAAGGTTGCATTCATTTTGAAAAACTCTAGGCTTGGACTTTTTTTTTATAATTTTTTTTAGAGTTAAGAAAAAAGGAGATGCAAAAATACGTGCCCACCAGAATCGAGCTCAGGTTGTCTCACAAAGGTCATCTTGACATCGGGCAATATAACAAGCACGCAATTCAACTTTTGTTAAAGAATGTAAGATGTATATGTATCTATATATAGGAATAATCTTCCCAACGCCTATAAGGGAAAATGAATAGTGATTTAAAAAGCGGATCGGTGACCCAGATCGGGCATCTCAAAAACCCATCCAAATCGGCAAATCGGCGATCCAGATCACGAATCAGCTGAATCGGTCTGATTAAACCTTAAAAAAAAATTAAAAAAATTATTAAAAATGCATTATAAATGTTGTTTTTTAGGAATTCAATAAGAAATGTGGGTACTCCATTAAGAATTTTCATTTCTTTGCATGAATATGCGAATATTGATATGTTCTTTCCTTGTATGAACTACTATTTACTATGTAATTTACATCACACAAAAGGATAAACATAGAATTATCATGGATTAAGTATATCATCATACACAGACTACGTCGTTCTTCATCTTGGTCACGCTGGTGCCATTGATTGAATTTGCGTGACAATTCATTGACTCGTTCTAAAAACGAATCATCCAAATTAGTAGGCACCTGACTATACCCAAATCCTTGAGTGTTAGTGTTTTGGTTTGGTCCTAATCCAAAATCCTCGAAGTTTATCCATCCTTCATGCTCACCTACACTATGGTGCTCATCCCTAACCTCTTGTTGTTGGGACTCGATATGTGAATAATTTGGCTGGGATTAGGTGGCCTCAGAATCATCATCTCTTTCATTTTCCCTTAAACCGCCTTCTCACTCTCCCTCATTAGCTGCAATATCACCAACATCTCCGACGAATTATGGATATGTTGGCGGGCTGCTTCCTCTTTTATGCTGCTCATCACCTTCTTCAAGATCTTCCTCATCGATAGCCTCAAGGAACGCTCTCTTATGCAACACTGACACCTCTTTTTCTACTACCCATTGTTTTACTATATCTGTGACAAATATTGTGTCCAAGTTTATCGGCCTATAGTCTTCAAGCTTCTTTCTTATTTGTCGCTCTCGGAGGTTTAAGTTGTAACGAACGTAGACTAGTTTATGAAGCTTTTCCTAAGCGAGTCGATTCCTCCTAGTAGTGTACAACCATTGAAACGTACTCCAGTTTAGCTCATAGCCAGTAGCAGAACATGTCTGCGAGAGCACCTTGATTGCTATCCTCTTTAGGTGAGGTGCATCACTGCCATATGTCTCCCACCGTTCAGCAGGATTAAAATGCAAAAAGCATTGTAAGGGCAAGAACAATTCATAAGATTAAATATATGAATGAACAAATTATTTGGTAGGGGATAACTTGGATCCATCTTAGTTCGAGAATTTCTGGCAAGTCTAGTTCCGAAGGATCCTATAAATCCCTATACATAACAAGCTAAAACAAAATATTTCATTTTAGTGCAGTATTCCTCACAAATATAACTCAATCAAGTTCTTACCCAAATATTAAATAATACCTCTTGTATTGCTGCTACTTGATTTCCATGGCTTCTCTCCAACCTGGCAATAATGTATCTGACCCCCTTCCATAATCCTGTGGGGATGTTCAGGTGTCAAATAGAAAAATTTTGGGTTGAAATAGTAACCTAGAAAATATATAGATAGAGAAATGTCATTTAAAATTTCATAAAAAAATAATTTAGAATGAAACATTCTAATGATATAAATATATATTTACCTGCATAATGAATTGGATGTCCAAATTTGGTGTTCCACCTTTTTTCTATAATCTCGATCACTTTACTAGCAAAATTACACTTCTCCCCAATAGCTGATTTGGCCCTATCGATATTGTCAGCATCCACCATTCTTACCACCGTGACCAAAAGGGTAGTGACTTGTATGATACTGGCACATCAAGACCAGAACCTCCTATTTGAGACTATGTCGTCCACTTTAGCCCGGTACTGGACTTCGAGTGGCAGTCATTTAACCACTCTTCACTGGTAAATAATCTCTTTATAGCACCTTCAGATTCCCGAATAGAGTTCACAGTCAGTTAATCTGTCGCAAAGCGGGTTATGGCATGCATGATTACCTCTTTTTTCTTAGACTGTCCTCTGAACAAAAATAAAATTTTAGAGTGGTTATATATAAATCTTGACACCAACCTCGCTTCCTGTAGAGTCTCCTTCACAATTTTGATCTCACCGATCTCCTCTAACCAGTGGTTTAAAAAACGGATCGGTGACCTCGATCGGGAATCCCAAAAACTGATCCGGATAGGCTAATCGGTGATTCGGATCGAGAATCGGGCCGAATCGCTCGGATTAAGCCTTAAAAAAATCCAAAAAAATTATTAAAATTCATTATAAATGTTGTTTTTTAGGAATCCAATAAGAAATGGGGATACTACATTATTAACTTTCATTGTTTTCATCAATTTATGAATATTGAGATGTTCTTTCCCTATATGAACTTATGTTGACCATTAAACATCACACAAAAGAAATCATAGAATTATCATGGATTAAGTATATAATCATATATGGACAATAATAAAGAGTTGACTAAATCGATGAAAAATTGGCCACTAAAATCTCGAATTGATGGAAAACCCTAATCCGCTAAAAAAACCCAAATTTTTACAACTTAACTAATTATAATATTATATACCAATAATATTTTATAATAATTTTATTATATAAACAATAACAAATCCAAAATATTTTATAATATCATCTAATTTAAAATGTATTATTGACAACTATAAGAAAATAGTACACTACATGATTTATAATGCAAAAATTAATAAATAAAATAAAAGATTTGGTTATCAATGTAGAAATTATTAGAATGCGTACCAATTTTCTTTAATTTTTTAGGTTTCTAGAATAAATTAGTGGAAGAGATTGTTAGTAGAAAGAGAGAGATTTCAAATAGCCTCATTGTATGAATCCTATCTTTAAATTAATATTATTAAATTTATGTTAAAGACCATCATGTTATAAAAATAAAAAAATATGATTAGACCATTTATTCCTAGGTTGTATTAAGAAATACCTTTTATTTTTTTTGACAAGAAATACTATTGTGTTATCTTTTATTTATTTTTACAAGAAAAATATGATACTTGTTGATTATCTTCTTTTTTTTTTACAAAAGAAGAAAACATTGTACTACATTTTTTTTGGCTTGTTGTATTACTTTTTTTTTTTTTACAAGAAAAATAAAAAAATGATGTTGCCAAAGAACAGTTTATTTTTTTATGCCTTTTGTTTTATATTTTTTGCAAGAAATATTTGTTATATGATCTTGCATTTTTTTTACAAGAAAAATAAAAAAATGTTGTATTATCTTTTTTATCTTTATCTTGAAAAGCCTTTTATTCTTTATTTTTTATATGTTTTTACAACAATATTTTTTGCCTTTGTTTATTTTTTTTACAACAAAAATAAACGATTTTTTTGACAACAAAAACAAACGAGGTCGCGTGCTGAGGTTCGAACTCTAGACGTCCACCGAAAAATCGAAGTTCTCAACCAACACGGCCACGTCGCCTAATGTGATTTTATTAGCTTCTATAATAATATATATTCAATTGTCTTGCTTTAATGATTTTTTGTAGGAATTATCCCACATCGAAGGATGAGCGTTGCTTTGTTATCTATAAATTCAATGCAATATCATATTTCATGTGGGGGCAGACATGTGAGGTGAGTGACCACGTGTAGATATGTTGGAGGCTTTTTGGTGCCACGTGTCGCTCCAGTGAGGCGGTCACGTGTAAACCCAAAATTACTAGAATGCCCAGGTTTTTTCGGTGCGACTAGCCATTCACTATTGTGAATCGCCCGGTTCTCTCTGGACACGGGCGATTCTCGGCTTTTTCGTGGAACCGGCTCGATAGCAGACGATTCCGGAGTTGAACCAAGTGAGTCCGGCTCGACTCGACGAGTTTTCAAACCCTGCCTCTAACATAAGATCGATGTTTTGTGCAGCACACGGGGTCTATACTAGATGCTTCCTCTTATCCATCAACTTGCTGCCCGCAGAAACACATGCACGCGCATTGTCCGTAATAAACTGGACTACATGCTTATCTCCCACCTCCTCCACTATATGCTCATATAGTCGTACGTAGAAGTTTGCATCCTTCTTTGTCCCTGATACATCTTTGCTAGACAAAAAAGCTGTACCTTTTGGGGAATAGGTCAAGAAGTTTAAAAACTCTTTTTTGCTAACTTTATTCAACCAACCATCACTCATAAG